TTATAATTTTGCCAACTTTTCTTTTTTGGTTGTCCCAAAAACTTTGTCACTTTCCTTTTTAATCAATCAATTTGTGGCTCCTGTTATTTCTCTCTCCTCTGCACAAATCTCTACCACCAGTGCTTATATCGTGGTACCGGTGCATGGTGAGCACCATGCACCCTTTGTTATTTTTTATTTCTCATTTTCTTAAAAATGTTAATATTTTTTTTATTTTTGATCCGATTTTTATAAAATTTAGACCAAATTTTTTTATTTTTCATGATCTTTCAAATGAGACCAATATTGCCTATGTAATTTTAATTTTTTACATTCATGCATTTTTTTGTAATATATTTTTATATGCATACACTTTTTCTATAATATATTTTTTTTTATCACTTTTATATGTTTTAGAGGTTTTTAAGATATTGAGTTTGTTTATTTTGGTTCTAGCTTGGAGTTACATTTGATAATATACGAAGTTACATCATCTTATACTCCAGTTACATGTTATTATGTGTGAGTTACATCTTGTTATGTGTGAGTTACATCTTGCTATACATGAGTTACATACTTTTATGCGAGAGATACATGTAATTATGTGTGAGTTACATCTTGTTATACACGAGTTATATACTTTTATGCGCGAGTTACATGTAATTATGTGTGAGTTATATCTAATTATTTGTGATTTTTTACTTATCTTTATCTTGAACTAATTCAATTATAACCGAATTAATTTTTTTCTTTGCCAATGTAATACAAAATTTTATTAATCCACATAAAATAAGTATATTGTATTTCATATTCATACACTATTTTTCAAATGATAAAAATGAAAGATGTAGCAGGGGTTTATTTCATGATGTAACTCACATACATTAAGATGTAACTCGTGTATATTAAGATGTAACTCGCGTACAATAAGATGTAACTCGCGCAGAAGAAGATCGATGTAACTTCATGATATATTATCAAATGTAACTTCAAAATAATTTGTTAAAATTACATAAGCAATATTGGTCTCATTTGATAGATCACGAAAAATAAAAAAAATTGATATAAAATTTATAAAAATCGGATATCAAATAAAAAAGTTATTACAATTTTTAACAATAAAAGAAAAAAAAATAGTGAATGCTGCGTCGTTTAGGTATCAGGCGCACCATCTTCATGATGCGCCGATCCCAGGGTATAAATTGCCCTCTACCACACAGTTTTTACTTTATTATTCTACGTGTAGGTCAAATTTGGCAATCCTTTTAGGGACGGAGGAAGTATTTATCCATGAGCTTTTTAATTAATTTTCAAAAAAAAATTGCAATGCATTTGAAAATTGCGCCAAACTCCGGAACTGATCCTGATATTTTTTCTTCTAAACAATCCTTGAATTGTCAGCCTCCCTAGCTCGAAGATTATGTGTCCTGCTTGACGCCCAAACCACCAGGCATCCGTATATCTACGTACACCCGACCCTCAGCTCCCACTATAAAAGTATGTATCGCCATGCATTTTCCATCCCACTCAAACAACGAACTCTATATATCTAAGCACTGAGATACGCACCTACGGACGCTCTTCCCGGCCACAATATCCGGTCATTGAAAACCAGTGTGAACGGTGGAGCGCAGCGGAGGATGGAGGCGGCGGACATGGGGATTATGAGAGGAGGGAGCATCAGACGGAGCTCCAGAGCAAACAGCAACTCTATATGGAGGAACTCCGGCGTCGAGGTGTTTTCTCGGTCGTCTAGAAACGAGGCCGACGATGAGGAGGCTCTCAAATGGGCGGCGTTGGAAAAGCTCCCGACATTTGATCGCCTGAGAAAAGGGCTCATGTTCGGCTCCGACGGGAGGGCGACAGAGGTAGACATCGACCACCTTGGATTCCAGGAAAGGCAGGCTCTGCTTAAGAGGCTTGTGAACGTCGCTGATGAGGACAACGAGAAGTTCTTGTTGAGACTGAGGAACAGATTAGACAGGTCTTCTAAACACAAACACTTTATTTATTTATTTATTTATTTATTTATTTATTTATTTATTTATCATATTCTAATTTAGATTTTGTAATTTTATAAATATTTCAAGTTAATTTGGAATATATATGTAAAATTTAATAGTAAAAATTGGGGTCAAATGCATGAATGTGACCTCAACTGTTGATATGTTGCGTTTTGGTACATTAATTCTTAAATGAATCAAATCAGTACCATAACTATACATAAATGTTTCAACTTGCAATTTTATTCAAATTTGTAGCCAAAAAATTCTACATGGTGATCGAAGCTCCATGATGATATGGACAAAAGCAAGGTAAAGTAAACTCTACACATACAATTCAGGTCACCACGTATGATTTTTCGATCGGAAATTTGACTAATATTGCAAGTTGAAACATTTGTGTATAGTTATGATACTGATTTGATTCATGATTTTATTCATTTAAGAATTAATGTACCAAAACGCAACATATCAATAGTTGAGGTAACATTCATGCATTTGACCCCAATTTTTACTATTAAATTTTACATAACAAAACATATATATTCCAAATTAACTTGAAAGATTATTCATGCATTTGAACCCAAATTTTTACTATTAAATTTTACATAAATGATACTAATTTGATTCATTTAAGAGTTAGGGTACCAAAACATAACAATACCAATAGTTAAGGTATCATTTATGCATTTGACCCATAAAAACTTATTCAATTAAATGTGAGGATGATTTAATTTTGTCGTTGATCAACCTTAAACATTGTAAATGACAATTCAATTTGTGACGATGAAACTAACTCCCTTCAGTAATGTTGCAATTACAATTAGTAATATTTAAAAGTTACAGAAAATTAAATTAAATGTTCTATAGAATTTGCATATGATAAAAAGGGTAGTGATTCTGTCAGGAAATCAGTTAATTAAATTATTTAAAAACATTGCGCTTTAAATACATATGAACAACATATTGTTTTTCAATTCTACATTTGACTTGCTTTTCTATTTAATTTTTAACTAAATTTTGGTAGGCATAAACTAGATTTGATGAAGAACATTCTTTAAGAATTTCATTAAAAAATTCTAGCGAGAATGACCCCAAATGGTCTTGGCCAAACACCGAATCCTGTTAGACCGGCATGATATGAACTGCCCTCTAATAAAAATATGATAAGTAAACTAACTCTTTTATTCTGGGAGAGACGGATGATTAAAGTAATAAAAGTACTTTTAATCAATAGATCTTTGAGATTATAAAACAATATCAAGTGAATGAGAGGGGTGAACTATAAAAATATTAAGGGTGATAATTAATTTTGACTTTATCCTCCATGGTAATAGAACATTATTAGGGAGTAATTATTTTTTAAGAGATGGAAAAGCATATGGAGTATTAATTGATCTTTGCTCAAATCTTATGGTGGGTGTAACTAATTTATTATCATTTCACAGAGTGGGAATTGATCTGCCAACCATTGAAGTGAGATATGAGCACCTAAATGTGGAGGCATATGCCTATGCAGGCAGCAGAGCTTTGCCTTCCTTCATCAACTTCTTTACCAATTTCATTGAGGTATAAACTAATGCCTTACACACAACACCAAAACATTTTTGGCAATTAACATAAAATTTAACTTAATGTCTCTGTTTTTCATCCTTTGAATTTTACAGTCTTCTCCACCATTTTATCCACCAAAGAACACAACAGAGAATTGAAAAAAAAAATTTATTAAAGTCAATTCCAAACCAAATTCATCATAGTAATTAATCCGTTTGATATTGTTTCTTCAATATACCATTTTAAAGGTGCACTTCCCTTTGAACTTTATGTTGTGCTCGCAATTAAATAATTATATACGTAGTATATTTATTATTATTAATTGTTAGTTTTATTATAATGTTATCACTAAGAATTAGACTACAAATTAAGATATAAAGTCTTAATATGGTATCAAATTAAGCTAGAATAAACAATTAGGTTTTGTCAAGCTGATTCTAATTCTATTTCTTCTTTTAAAAAAAATTGAAACATGATCAATTTCAAACACCCTATATCGTTCAAGAATTGTTTAAGAGACAAAAGTTTGAAGAGTATAAATGGACTAAATCATTTCTCCTCTATTTTATATTTAAAGGATTTACGGAATACCCTTCACATCACCAAAAGTAAAAAGAGGAAGATTACGATTCTGAATGATGCTACTGGAATTATCAAGCCGTGCAGGTTAGTGCTTGCTTAAATATTGATTCAAATGCCACTCTTGAGAAATTATAAACCTTCTTTTACTTAAATTATCATTGAAATAGAAAAATATATGTCATATTGAGTGCAGTGTAAAAGAAAACATAAATTATAGTCATTAAAAATTACTCTTGTAGTCGCTCTGAATGTTATACTACGTATTTTTTAGCCATGTATTTATTATAATAATCATAAATTGGTTGTTATTTCAATTATAGAACAATATAAACCAAGATGATAGAAAATACCTAACTTATAACACTCATATTTTTAGAATTTCATATTGTTTTCATTTCTACTTGGAGCGATTTTTTCAACATAAAATGTTCGTCTCTAGCTCATATCTTCATATCTTCCTTTTTCTACTTAGACATTTTAAGAAACTCCAAATCCATGTATGGAAATACACCTATCCCTTAAACAGTGGCGGAGCCACAAATCTATGATTAGGAGGGCGGGTCGTTGAAAATTTTACATTAAGGGGGATAGTTGTTATCATTCATTACACCAACGTGCTCTATGATCATTCATTACATCAACGTGCTCTGTGATCATTCATTACACCAACGTGCTCTGTGATCATTCATTACACCAACGTGCTCTCTGATCATTCATTACACCAACGTGCTCTATGATCATTCATTACACCAACGTGCTCTGTGATCATTCATTACACCAACGTGCTCTGTGATCACGAATACTCGCGGTTCACACGGAAACAAGCTTAATACATGTGGTTGTGTGTGTGGGTTCAGAATGACACTGCTATTAGGACCTCCAGCTTCTGGCAAGACAACACTTTTGTTGGCCCTGGCTGGAAAGCTTGATAAAGACTTGAAGGTGGGAGGAAAAGTGACATATAACGGGCATGAGCTGATCGAATTCGTGCCGCAAAGAACGGCTGCTTACATTAGTCAATATGATCTGCATATCGGAGAAATGACTGTTCGAGAAACCTTGGAGTTCTCTGCTAAATGTCAGGGCATCGGCTCTCGCTATGGTTAGTAATGCTTCCAGTTAAAGAGAGTGTGAGTGTTCATTCCATACTTTAATTTCTTCCTAACTTCTTCTTCTCATTAATGTTGGGAAATATACATAGAAATGTTGGCAGAGTTGTGTAGAAGAGAAAAGGCAGCAAATATCAAGCCTGATCATGATATCGACGTTTACATGAAGGTAAGAATAGATTTTAACAGGGACTCTTCATTTCCGGTTAAAATATGAACTAATAAACTATTAGATCTGAAGCTACACTTCATATATACCCCTTTTTAGGAAGTAAGCTGAGTTTTAATTCATTGCTATAATAACTACAGGCTGTAGCTACTGAAGGACAAGAAGAAAAAGTCTTCACTGATTATGTTCTTAAGGTAACCTGAAGTCTGAATCATCATAAGTTACTAATTTAATGGCAAAAAAAGTGGACATTTAGTGCATATGAGCAGTGCAGATTCTGGGGCTGGAAGTTTGTGCAGAAACAATGGTGGGTGACCAAATGATACGAGGTATATCTGGTGGGCAAAAAAGGCGCGTGACCACCGGTGAAATGCTTGCTGGACCAGCTAAAGCTCTTTTCATGGACGAAATCTCGACAGGGCTCGATAGTTCCACAACCTTTTCAATCATTAACTCGTTGAGGCAATACGTGCGCATTCTCAAGGGCACTGCTGTCATTTCCCTACTCCAACCAGCACCAGAAACCTATAATCTCTTTGATGATATTATTCTTTTATCAGATGGTTATGTCATTTACCATGGTCCTCGTGAGGAAGTACTTGACTTCTTTGACTATATGGGTTTCAAATGCCCCCAAAGAAAAGGCGTGGCAGATTTCTTGCAAGAAGTATGCATGCTTGAATGCTCTTTACTTTATCTTTTGCCGATTTTATCAAGTATTTTTTGTGCATTATTTAGAACTGGTCAAGTTCTTGATAGGTGACATCCAAGAAAGATCAACAACAGTATTGGACTTGCAGAGATAAGCCTTACATATTTGTGAAGGCTAAGGAATTTGCTGAGGCTTACAAAACCTTCCATGCTTGGAAGAAGATGGAGGGAGAGCTTTTGGTCCCATTCGATAAAACGAAAAGCCACCCTGCTGCATTGACAAAGCAGAAATATGGTATAGGGAAGAGGCAGCTCTTGAAGGCTTGCACTGAACGGGAGTATCTGCTTATGCGTAGAAACTCATTTGCTTACATCTTCAAGTTCGTTAAGGTGTGATGTTGATTATAATTAATGTTAAAGTTGTCTAATCTTTTATACTCTCTCCGTCCCAAAATGACTTCCACTTAGGTTTACTTTTCTTACTCAATTCAATTCTTTTAGAACCATCTTTTTCAGTACTACCAGTCTACAGAAGCTACTAGTATAACCTTGATGGAGTTGAAGGAAACCAGTTTTCCTACTTTCACTTCTTGAATAATGGTCTTTTCACAAAGGGTTAATATATATTATTGAGAATTCTCTTTAACTCTAGTTGACATGTATAGTTATTATTACTTGAGGTGAGTAGAACAATATCATAAGTATTTCTTCACCTATAAGGAAAATGGACTTTATCTAAGCAGTAAGTGCATCCCAAAAAGAAATACATGAGCTTTAAATAGGGGAGGATGATATATTAAACTTTTATTTCATAATCTAATTTGATTGTTGCATTTTAATTAAAAAAATTATGTAGCTTCTGAATACGTAGTATGTAAATTTTAATTATCAATATGGTTTTAAAATGAAGATTTAAATTTATTGCTCGTCAACTTTAAAAATCACGGCACACTACACATCAATTTGGGACGAAGAATGGAGTTTTCTTCTATAACAAAGTGAATATAACTGATTTTTTGTTTTTATTATTATTATTTATTTGTAAATGGAGCCTAGCTTGTTGTGATAGCTGTCATTTACATGACAATATTTTTGCGAACTGAAATGAAGAAAGATAATGAGATTGATGGTGGGATTTACCTCGGTGCCCTATGCTTCGGTGTGGTTATGATTATGTTCAGTGGTTTTTCGGAGATTTCATTGAATATTTATAAGTTACCGGTGTTTTACAAGCAAAGAGACCTCTTATTCTTCCCTCCATGGGCTTATGCTATTCCTTCATGGATCCTCAAAATTCCTATTACGATTGTTGAAGTTGGTATCTGGGTGTTTGTTACTTACTATGCCATTGGTTTGGACCCAAATGTGAGCAGGTATAAAAACGTATATCGATCAATAAGAATTTTGTTCTATTATGCATCATAGTATCTCTCTTGATTGAATACTCTTCATTAATGAAACCATTTTTTTTTCATATTTAGGGTGTTCAAACAATTCTTGATAGCTATAATGTTGAACCAAATGGCTTCTTCATTATTCCGACTTATTGCAGCTCTAGGTAGAACTATGACCGTTGGAAACACATTTGGATCTGTTTCTTTGGTTTTGTTATTTTCTTTGTGTGGCTTTGTGCTCTCTCGAGGTACGTTGGTTATGTAAAATATAAATACTATTTTGAGTATGTGATATGGAAAAGTATGTTCATTATAATTCTCCAGATAGTGTGAAGAGCTGGTGGATTTGGGGCTACTGGTCTTCACCACTGACGTATGCTATGAATGCATTTCTTGTAATTGAATTTAAAGGAAAGAGCTGGAGACATGTAAGATCATCTATTTAATATGGATTTAAACTTTGTATATAGTTTTGTTAGTGAAACCAACTTGTTTGTTTTTTCTTTATATTTAAATAGTTTGCTCCGGGTGGTACTGAATCAATTGGCGATTTAGTTGTGAAATCTAGAGGATTCTTTCCTGAATCAAAATGGTATTGGATCGGCGTTGGAGCACTTTTCGGGTTCATGATTCTCTTCAATGTTTGCTACATACTAGCTCTTCAATATCTTGACCGTGAGAACACCCTTTGTTTCCTAACTATATATGATCAGTGACATTTATTATGTTTATTTATGATATCATACTAATAATGCAGCATTTGGCAAGATCCAAGCAATGATATCAGATGATGAACACAGTGAAATTGCTTCTGTTCAAAACACCACTCAACAATTGTCCCGTGTTGCTAGTAGTAGTAGAGGAATGATTCTTCCATTTGAACCCCATACACTCACATTTGACAATGTTGTCTACTCAGTCGACATGCCACAAGAAATGAAAGATCAAGGTGCCAATGAAGATAGATTAGTTCTTTTAAAAGGTGTAAGTGGATCATTCAGGCCTGGTGTTCTCACTGCTTTGATGGGTGTTAGTGGAGCTGGGAAAACAACTTTAATGGATGTATTGGCTGGAAGAAAAACGGGTGGTTACATTGATGGAGATGTAAAAATATCCGGATATCTTAAGAAACAAGAAACCTTTGCCCGAATTTCTGGATATTGTGAACAGAATGACATCCATTCTCCTTTTGTCACCGTTCACGAGTCTCTTATTTACTCAGCCTGGCTACGTTTACCAGAAGATGTGAATGCTAGTACTAGAAAGGTTAGTAATTCAAAATATCATGTGTGTAGTTAGAAAATAAATCTCTCAAAGATAGAAAAGCTCACATGTGTGTAATTTAATTGTAGATGTTTGTTAATGAAGTTATGGAGTTAGTTGAATTGACTCCATTGAGATCACATCTTGTTGGTTTGCCTGGAGTTAATGGTCTATCAACCGAACAACGTAAAAGGCTGACAATTTCAGTTGAGTTAGTTGCTAACCCATCAATCATATTCATGGATGAGCCCACTTCAGGGCTAGATGCTAGAGCTGCAGCTATTGTGATGAGAACTGTGAGGAACACTGTTGACACAGGCAGAACAGTAGTTTGCACAATTCATCAACCGAACATTGACATTTTTGAGGCTTTCGATGAGGTATATCAAAATATTTGAACTTTATAATATGTAAATAAACTAATGAGAAATTGTTTGAGAAAGAATTGATTAAGAATACATTTTACAGCTATTCCTCATGAAGAGAGGAGGGCAAGAAATTTATGTTGGGCAATTGGGCCACAATTCCTGCCATTTGATTAAGTACTTTGAGGTGAGTTTGAGCTCCCAGTTTTAGTCCATTTCACAAAATCCAAATATAAAAAATAGAAAATCTGATATAGGGCTTAGGTTCATGTTGTTCTTTAGAAGGAACATAAGTCATTATAGTCTAATGCCAAACTTTTTATCTCATACTTAGTTACTAATTACTTGCTTATGATAAAATAGTCCATTCATGGAGTGGGGAAAATCAAGGATGGATACAACCCAGCAACATGGATGCTCGAAGTGTCAGCTTCAGCTCAAGAAATGATTTTAGGGGTCGATTTCTCAGACATCTATAAGAACTCAGATCTATATCAAAGGAACAAAGCATTGATAAGAGAACTAGGCACACCTTGCCCTAATTCCATGGACTTGGACTTCCCAACTCAATACCCGCAGAATTTATGGAACCAATTTTTGGCATGCTTGTGGAAGCAACATTGGTCTTATTGGCGTAACACATCATATAGTGCACTTAGATTCCTCTACGTTACCATCGTAGCATTAATTTTTGGATCAATATTTTGGGACATGGGTACAAAAATGTATGTCCAAACACCTCAAACAATTCTTATATAGTGGCAAGATGGAAACATTGTCTTTTACTATTAAGTATCTTATTCTCTCATATTTCAGGAGTACTAGACAAGATTTGTTCAATGCTATGGGATCTATGTATGCCGCAATTCTCTTTATTGGGGTGCAACATGCTTCTGCAGTTCAACCTGTGGTCGTGGTTGAACGTACAATATTCTATAGGGAGAAAGCAGCCGGAATGTATTCTGCATTTCCATACGCCATTGGTCAAGTGAGATTTCTACTTTTGGATTCCACCTTTTTACTACATACATTAGAAAAGTGATCGCAAATTATTGTAACATTGTTCTTGCATGTGGTAGGTTGTTATTGAAATCCCCTATATAATTTCACAATCAGCTGTTTATTGTGGGATCGTTTACGCAATGGTTGGGTTTGAATGGACACCAGCTAAGTTTCTTTGGTATTTTTTCATGATGTTCTTCTCATTCTTATACTTCACACTTTACGGCATGATGTGTGTGGCTGTTACCCCCAATGAAGGCATTGCGGCCATTATCTCCGTCTTCTTTTACACTATGTGGAACCTCTTCTCAGGGTTCAACGTGCCACGACCTGTAAGTCTTTTACACACTTAACATTAAATTTGGAATGTGATCAAACTTTTAAGAGATTTTTATTTCCCATGCAACATAACAGAGCATTCCTGTGTGGTGGAGATGGTACGTTTGGGCATGCCCAATGTCATGGACATTATATGGGTTGGTGGTATCCCAATTTGGAGATATTGAAGAAAAAATGAGTGATTCTGATCAAACAGTAAAGCAGTTCCTAGATGATTACTTTGGATTCAAGCATAATTTTCTTGGAGTGGTTGCAGCTGTCATTGTTGCATTACCTATCATTTTCGGGTTCATTTTTGCTTTTGCCATTAAAACTTTAAACTTCCAAATGAGATAGTTGTGTTCGATCTAAACAGTTATATAAAAATTCTATGACATTTTCCCTATTATTCTTTGTTATTTAGTTGTTATATATAAGATTTGATGACCTCTTTTTTATATGTTGTCATCAAATGTTATATATAAATCAAAACCCAGAAGCAAGGATTGAGATTGTAGTACCTTATTTTTATAGAAATATCAATAAATATATCGTTAACGGTAAAATATAAGAACGATAGATTTTATTGAATAATTTAAAAATTAAAACCACATTTTGATATGATGATGTTTAAGTATTTGTCCCATACCATACATCTATAAAAAAATTAAAACACTATATAAGACTTTGGACTTACTACTCCTCATATCAGGTTGACATTTTAGGATGGAACTACAGGTCTTAACATGGTATTAAAGCCAATTCTGGATGTTATTTGACTGCTTGTTTAACACTCATGATTAATGGTAGCTTGCTAATGGTTTGTTTGACCCATTTATACACCCCGGTATTGTTCATCCCGGTTCGGGGAAGTATTTGTCTCACACTGAAAAACTATAAAATAATAAAATATTATATAAGACTTTGAATGACTCCTCTTATCAGATTGACCTTTTAGGGTTGAACCCCTGGGCCCACATACTCAGAAGAATGAGAGTAACATATATTATCACAACCACTCTAAAAGATAAAATATACTATCATATAATATTGTTCAAATGACTTTATACATGATGGAGTATATGGACCTGGACCCCTGGGCCCACATACTCAGAAGAATGAGAGGCACAGCTGTCACCCAATGGGGCCTCCGTCGGCCAGATGGTCCCCCATCGGCCAGAAAGATATCAACTCGGAACACGATCCGGAAGCCAGAAGAACCGGGTGTCCCCGTCGGCCGGGGCTCCGTCGACCATGGCCGCGTCGGCCATGGCTCCATCGGCCACAAAAGGCTCCCAGAACCGGATTTCGTACTTAGTTATTTCTACTAGGGGTGGGCATTTCAGTTTTCGGTTCGGTTTTTGATGCACACTAATTAGTAGTGCATAGTTACATGTTTTTATGTTTGATTTATGTTAATTGTTTGACGTTTTATTTAGTTTGTAAACATTTATGTGATTTCAGTTGTAATTGTATTTTAGTCTTTATTTCTAAGTTGTAAAGTTTAGTTAGGATTTGTGGTGTTGGAAAGGAAGACTTTGAAGTGAAGAAAAAGAAGATTTGGCTGCCCAGGAGCAAATACCCGACCGGGTATAACACTTGACCCGGTCGGGTAAGAAGTGAAAAACGAAAATACAAAGAAAGTGCATGGCCCGGTCGGGCCCACTATCTTACCCGGTCGGGTGAGAAGTGACCGGGGACAACCCGGTGTGCAAAGATCACCCGAACGTGAAGAATATCCAATTTTTGCACTCACCCGGTCGGGTCCCCTACCCCACCCGGTCGGGTCTGACTTGACCCGGACACTTTAACATGCCGAAGATCACCAGAACGTGGGGAAATATCTGATTTTGACCGGACCCGGTCGGGTATGTACCTATACCCGGTCGGGTACCCGGCCAAAGGTGTTGAAAAACACCTATAAATAGCACACTTTTTCTTCTCTAAAAACAATCCCTTCTTCCATTCTCTTTAGCTCAGTTTAGAATAGCATTTCTTTATATTTTTCTAGCTATGTTTAGTCTCCAAATGAGGAGCTAAACTTCCAATCTTGGTTTTGCTCTTGAAGCTTGTTGATTATTAAAGTTGTGAGTTATTTTCTTAACTTCTTCTCTTGATTATTAATTCTTCCCTTAATCTCATTCTATATTAATGTTGGAGGGTTGCTAAGTGACGATTAGTTAACGTTCCGACATTAATTACTACTAGAAACGATCAACGAACCGATGGTTAATCGTTGGTGGTTTCACAAGTAAGTAACTTCGGTTTATTAATGCACGGTCGTGGTTAATAGACTTAAGAGGGATCAATTTTGTTGGTTAAACCGAAACCGTTGTGTTGAGGTTATCAATCTCAATTGATTTCATCAAGGAGTCAGAAAGATTAAATGCTACTATTAAATCGGTATAAGGCGTTGTTCTATATTTGATTAATAGTAAGGGTTATTAATGAACGGTCGTTGTTAATAACTACCCTCGATGAAGTGGATATACTCCCCGATTGAGTATTCGAGAGGGAATAAGTTATAGATATAACAATGATCGACTAAAATATATCAACAAGTGGAAAGTAGCAATGCCAAGTCCTTTTTATCTTTGAATTAAACACATATATGTTGTTCATCTTAGTTCTTAATTAAATTAAATCACTCAATCCAAATCCCCCCTTTTTGATTTACTAAGTATCATAAAAAGAGAATTATTCCTTTCCCTGTGGATACGAACTCTACTACGCTGTACTACGTATAAGTGTTAGTATTGAAAATTATTTTGACGCACCGTGACAAAGTGCTCGTATTTTATTTGATTTCAAGTTAACATACACTCAAAATAGTAGCAAAAATTTTCAACTTAATATGGGTATTTTGACGCACCTTAATATGGGTATTTTGACGCACCTTAATATGGGTGAAATTTAATAGTAGTAAAATAGTATCTTAGTATTTTAAGTTGTAATTGACGGTGCGTCAAATAGTATGTTTGAAAATAGTATCATGGGGCAGTTAATTGACTAGTATCATGGGGCAGTTAATTGACTAGTATCATGGGGCAGTTAATTGACTAGTATTATAATTGACGGTGCTCGTATCAGAGCATCTTTAATGCTACATTGTTAATAGGGAATAAATTTTGACACATGTCAATTAATAAATGGAATGTCCATCCACATCATAGGAGAGAGATTTGGTTAGACATTGAAACTCCCAAATCTGGTCCAATGCTTCGTGTTAACACCCCAACCTCATAATATTCTTGTAAGCCTTTTCTTTTTTTTAAAAAAATGAATTAAGAATAATCTTTTTGAGTTTGTTTGGGTTTCTCAGACCAGATTGTTAATTGCTTTTGTAGAGGTATGATCTTCCGATCAGATCATATATTTTATATCTTTCTTTTTAATTTGTAATTAGCCCTTCCCATAAGCAAAAATATACTAGCGTATACAAGAAATCAAAACCTTTCTCCAAGACAAATCTGCTACCTTCTGAAATCAATCCTTCGCTGAACAAATTAAACCCACTACTTGACGAGGATAGAGATAGTGGTTTATTTATTTTGGGCAAAGTTTTTAATGAGCCAGAGAACTTCCAAGGCGTTTTCCAAATTCTTTCGCAGAATTTCTCCGTACAATTTTGGTGAGTCAGCATGTCAATGATGCTGTAATCCGAAAACAGTCTGTTTAACAATGTTTACGTTATTTATTTACAAGTCAGCATTACATGACTTTCTACATATTGCATTGGAGATGAAGATACGTTAACATTGCTGAGCCGTCAGTTTTTATTAATGTGAACAGTCTCCCATTGGAGATGCTCTCATGGGGCAGTTAATTGACTAGTATTTTAACCGGGGAAAGGCAATAAAAAAATACACTCAAAATAGTAGTAAAATAGTATCTTAGTTCTTCGGTTTCGGTTCGGTTTCGGTTTAATCGGTTTGATAGAAAATGTACCAAATACAAACCGATTAAGTTTCGGTTTGGTTTCGATTTGGTACGGTTCGGTTCGGTTTGGAGTTCGGTTTACCAAAGTATTAAGGTTTGGATTGAAATAAAAAAAAATAACTCAAAATAATGAACCAAGAAGCGATAGTAATGAACCAAATATAATGTTAGATATAAATTTGCAAAAAATAACAAAACACATATGAACCAAAAATATATAAGCATGACACATTTGTATGCAACAACAACGAGAATGAATAAAATTATATATAAAGCCGAAACAAAAACAAAACTGGTGCTTGTAAGTAATGATCCAAATATATAGTAGTAGTAGATAATAAATTATAGTTAAATACTATCTACTTAAATCACTATAATTGTTATTATTGTAAATGTAAGTCTTGTAATAAACTCTAGTCCTCGACACTAAAATTAAAGAATTAAAGCTTCAAAAAGATTAACATCAATCAAATTAATGAGAGAAATCTTATATTTTAGTTTGGTTTAGTTTGGTGTAAGTTGGTTTTGATTTGTTATTTTTAAAAAAATAAGAAATTATTTCATTTTTAGATTAGCTCGGTTTTATTCGGTTTTATTCGGTTTTATGATTTCGGTTTGGTTTGGTTCAGTTTAATACGGTTTGGGAGGAATACTACCAAACTCAAACCAAATTACAAATGGTTCGGTTTCGGTTTGGTTTAATTCGGTTTGGTACGGTTCGGTTCGGTCAAACCGAACCATTATGCCCATCCCTAATTTCTACATATCTTGTATTCAGCCCAATAGTGGCCCAATTGTAAATGGGTCTCCCAAGCCCAAGACTTGGGAGCCCAGCCCTAATTTCCTCTATAAATACTCCCCTTAGGGGTAGTTGTGGGGGGTTCACAAATCATTTATTGCAAGGAATTATTGCACTTCTCTCTCTAGCTCTCACTGCACTCGGTATATACTACATTCGTTCTCTTTTATTTGTAACATTAAACTTTTTGCACTATTCACATATTATATTATACTTATATTTTATTTATTAATGTATTATACATTAAATTTTAAAAAAATATTGTTAAATTCTTCTAACTTTAAATTTTCAAAATCAGATTTTTTAAATTTTTTTACTAATAAGGAATGAAATATATTAATAGTCAAACACGTGTGTTCGCAAACGTGAAAAGTGGATTGTTGCAATTAAAAAAGAACGAAGTAAGTATATGTTTAACTAACTTGTTCATAACCCACTTTTTCATACTTACATATCACTAATCCTCATTCGTGTTTAATATTTCCCGAATTAGAATTTTTTTCTCAGCACATCGCCTAAACCGTGTAAAATCAAGTCACTAATCCTCATTCGTGTTTTGGGCGAACCGGCCCAGTCATATTTTTTTCCCGCATCGGCTATTCAAATCAAGAGCACATACCAGCCACTAAAGAGGCAGGACACTTATCGTCCTCAGACAAACAAACTCACCCCATCAAAGGAACATCAGCCCTCTTCGTCCACAGTGAAGGCCATACAGCGGCCAGAACGAAGAACACCCATAACGGCCAAAAACAAAGAACGAAGAGCTCCCATAACGACCAAAACAGGGAAAAACCCATAGCGGTCCCGTAATGGCCAAAAACGTCAAAACCATGGAATCTACTCTCCCGCACTTCGTCTACATCTCAGCTCAGAGAGTGGAGGACTCCTGATTGAGTATACCTGGACCCCTGGGCCCACATACTCAGAAGAATGAGAGGCACAGTTGTCACCCAGTGGGGCCTCCGTCGTCCAGATGCCCCCATCGGCCAGAAAGATATCAACTCGGAACACGGTCCTGAAGTCAGGAGAACCGGGTGTCCCCGTCAGCCATGGCCGCGTCGCCATGGCTCCATCGGCCACAAAAGGCTCCCAGAACTGGATTTCGTACTTAGTTATTTCTACATATCTTGTATTCAGCCCAATAGTGGCCCAATTGTAAATGGGCCTCCCAAGCCCAAGACTTGGGAGCCCAGCCCTATTTTTCTCTATAAATACTCCCCTTGAGGGTAGTTGTAGGGGGGTCACAAATCATTTATTGCAAGGAATTATTGCACTTCTCTCTCTAGCTCTCACTTCTCTCTAGGAGTTAATACGCAATCAATACACAAATATTATTGATGGTTTTAGTGCAATCGACCATTTTATGTAATTAAAAATGATATGAGTGCCACTAGGGATTACTATGATGTAATACAAGCTAGTAGGTGCGGAGTGCACACTTCTATACGACGACAAGTTTTATCTCAAAGTGTCTACGATAAAGAACTCTTAGTAGTCCAGTTTTGTGAGTCTAGATCCAAGTCTAGAGTGGTTGAGACAGTTTCGTTCAAATTTTCAGAAAATGTTATAGTTATCCCATTATTTTTAACCATACAACGGTTCATATGAATATATATCTCCACTATATTTTGTACAAAAGGATACAAACAACATATCTTCATCAATTTGGCATTCAAATAAAAAGAAAACAGTCCATATACTCATTAGTTTATGTTCTTGAATTTGTGCTTAAATTCTTGGATGCCTTAAGGATTATATATCCTACGTTAAATTTCTTGTAACCCATACATAGGAGAGAAATATCAAATCAGAGAAATATTAAATATACATGTCCTTAAGCAATCAAAGTCAACTAAGTGCAATATACAAATTGGTGCAAACTATAAAATGAACATTTACTTTAGAATTTTTTAAATACTTGGTGCACACTATAAATTAATAAACTTATTTAAACAAATTGCAGTGTTATTAGGACAAGAGGCAGAGTTACTTTTAATCAATCTTTTAATCGATGGATTTAATGTACTCAATTTAAAAACACCCTAAATTTGAAATCTGGCGGGGTGATCAACTGCACATGACTTGTGCAGTGACGACAATGCAAAAGAAGAACTTTAGTCAAATGAAATGATAAAAATGTTGGGTTGAAAATGCACACTATAAATTAAAATAAATTTCACCTTCAATATCACCAAACCACTCTCAGGTCTTGGATCATATATTTGCATAACAGAAAGTTAGAAAACGGCCGGTCGGTGCATGTTATGGAGGCTGCAAATTTGGGTATTACAAGAAGAGGGAGTAGTTCCAGAGCAAACAGCCATTCTATATGGAGGAACGCCGGCGCCGAGGTATTCTCCCGGTCGTCGA